ATACATCAACTTTATAATACATCACCGTTACAGTGATGTATCATACAGTTGAAACATGATAATTGATATACACCTAGTGGTAGCATTCAGTATATAACCACTGTAAGTATTCCTATTTAATTTATGTTAGTAGATGAATCTATATTCCCCTGTGCCTATCGCTATTTAATTCAGTTGATGCTTTTGCAGTCCATACAGGGCATATGTGCGTACACAGGACGTATCTACAGTCTGTGCAGATTGTATGTATATTCTGCAAAATGTTTGTATGTGCGCTCCGCATTGTACATACATGCATGAAATGTGCATACATTGTACATACATGCATGAAATGTGCACTCAATCTATGTAAATTGATTTATTTACATTATTTTGATATACACTACGCTACTTCTATGGTGGATTAGAATCCATATACATGATCAAGATCAGAGTGCATATACATGATTCAAGTGCATATACATGAAAATACGGATAGGTCAAGTGGTGTTACATACTTACTTACATACATCAACTCACCTGAAACACTTTTAAAAAAATAACTGAAAAGTTATTCTTTACATTGAAGTAAATAATTTTGTAGTTGTTAGTCTATAATTTGTAAACTTATGTGAATAAGTTGAATAAATTACTCGCATCATAATAAATAAATTGGCTTCATTTGTCTGGTCGTACAATTATCCTCATAGGTTAGTCGGACGTCTGGTGGGACGAATATGACCAGCCTATTTTTAAACAAAATAGATTTCCAATTTTGCAATTACTTGCTAAAAGTGCAGTTATTCCGCTTTATTAAAAATTTTTAAAAAAATTATTTTTGTCATGTCACACTTAAACTAACCACCCCCGTGTAATTGTATCAAACACACTTTCTTTTTCAATCGTTTGTCATACTTGTATATAATGACTGCCGAAATATAGAACACCGAATAATTAAATTATTTATATGAAAACATTTATTTTGTTATTCAAAGAGTTATTCGATTAATAAATTCTCAGCAAACTTTAATCAAATTAATCTATTAAAACCCTATATTTACTCTATTGGCTGCAGCAGCCAAGGGCGGTGTTAAAGGGTAAAGGCGTTTAGATTAAGGGTTAATAATGTGATAATATATAATCTTGATGATATATGTTTTTTTTTTAAGTGTTGATTTATAACCATTGTTGTCATTACATTTTGAAACCAACAACAACAGTGAAATAACAGTTGATTATAGGTAAAAAATTTTGTTTTGCTTTAAACCATTATCTAAATAGGTTGATCAAAGTCACATATAACATTGTGTTTGCTATACTCAAATATCAAAGTAAAATATCAAACTGACCTTCCTTTTCTTGGTATGATGAACTTCAAAGTTCAATCCAATGGGTCTTGAATTAGAAGCTCTTTGTACATCTTTATTCTACATTTAAAATTACGTCATTCTACTTGAGTTTTTACCAAAGATTTATTTAATTCCAAACAAAACATTAATATTTTTTCTATTAATTTTGATATTTTGTCAATGTTTTATAATCATTCCTTTAAAAATAACTGGATAACAATTGTATTAGCAAACATTGTTTTATATAATTATATAATACTAGCAGTAAGCAACCCATAATACGGGTTGTTAGTAAATAAAATTTAAAAAAAAAAAACGCGTTTAAAAAAGCCTAGGAACTACTATAAAATAAAGAAGCCTACGAAATGACGTAAGACGACTATTAACCACTACTATTTATAAGCGTAATAATATTATCAGATTGAAGTTGAAAAAATGTTTGATCTTTACTAATTAAAGTAATGTAGAGTTACTATATCAAAACATACAAAAGTAAATTTTTTTTCTTAAAAAAAAAAATCATTGAAAACAAGATAAATAAAAAATGCAACCAGACACAAACAATAATTCTGAAGTCAATAGAACTTTTTCTTTAAAAGTCTAGTATTATGCTGCTAAATAATAGTGCATAATATTTATCAGTAAAAAAACACAGTATAACAAATTGGTGGCAAATCTTAATGACGAGCGCTCAAAGTCATGCTCGTTAACATTAGACTTTAGTTTTGCGCATGGAACATTTTTCCAAAAAATAAGTATATGTGGGTCTTTGCACTCTGCATATATGGTAAAATCCAGCATATATAGGCATTTTTTACAAAATCCTAAATTGAAGTTTTAGAGCCACCATGCCTCTGCTAAAAAGTACATAGAGTGTACTTCTAAAAAACCTCCTATGGATACCAATGTTTTTTAATGCTTGACTCTTGGTCTTGGCCTTGAAAGATTGGAAAGATTTAAAAGAATGGAAGGCAGATGTTGACATGAAATTATCAAACTACTTCTATAGAACTGGCATTTCTCTACGACTAGTTGAATCTGATGCATTCAAAGATTTCGTTAAGGCGCTCAATCCAGCATACGCAGCTGCTATGCCGAGTGCAAAGACCTTATCAGGACCGCTGCTTGATAAGCACTTTAATAAGTGCTCTGCTGCTGTCGATGAAATCATCCAATCTCACGGTAATCTAACGTTGATGTCAGATGGTTGAACAAACATCAGAGGTGATCACATCGTTAATTTCTGCGTGAAGGCACCGGGTCAAAAAGCTATTTTTTATTCATCTATCGATACCTCCGGAATCATTCAGAACTCAGTTGCAGTTGCTGCTGCTATCATCCAAGTCATCGACCAGATTGGTTCACAAAAGTTCTGCAGCTTTATTTCTGATAATGCACCTGTTATGAAGTTATCATGGAAGATAATCGAAGAAACATACCCACACATCTCAGCAAGTGGTTGTAGCGGCCACGGCATGAATCTATTAATTAAAGACATCGCCAGTACCACAGAAGCTGCAAAAACAATCAAAGAGTCGGAAAAGATCATCAATTTCATCAAAAACCACCATATGGTCAACTCAATGTTTGATGAACATCGACGTACAGCAAATGTCACTCAATCTCTCTGCATGCCTGTTGCTACACGTTGGTTTAGCTTGTACAATGCGATGAACTCTCTTCTTCTCTCCAAGTATGTTTTGATCAAGCTAGCTGACGAGGAAAACGACGCATTAAAAGAAATTCAACCCAAAACCACATCAGCAGCAGTCCTGACTTTAATCAAATCCCCTGCCTTTTGGATTCGTTTGGGAAAGTTAGTTAAGGACATTGAGCTTCCTTCCAAAATGAAATTTTGGTCAGCTCTTCAACCATTATGATGATGACGAGAGTATTCAACAAAAAGTTCAGTCGCGACTCGATTTTATTTTCACGCCAGCCATGGGACTAGCTTACATGCTTACGCCCAAAGCACGCAGAAGACGGCTTTTATTTTGGAGATGACAAAATTGACATTATTACAGCCACGTTTGATCGAACAAGCGAAATTCATCCGGATATTGCTGACAAAGTGCGAGAACAACTGATCGAGTTTAGTGGAGAAATGACTACGTTGCCCCAGAAACGAAAGGATACAAATTACAAAATGAGCGCAAAAAACTAATGGAGCATTATTGATCGCAACAAGTATCCGGAACTTTATGAAGTGGCAGTTTCCATCAATGAGATAATATGCACATCAGCTGCAGCAGAAAGAACTTGGTCGATCTTCAGATTTATTCATTCACGCCTTCGAAATCGTCTAACAAATGAACGAGAAGAGAAGCTAGTTTTTCTATATGCAAATAACGTACTGATGGATACTCGTGACAAAAACGACTATATACAAGATGAAGGAGCTATGATCGAAGAACTTGAGCGAGAATTTGCAGAATAAGACATAAAAAGTAATCATAAATTGAGTGTATTTTGCAGCTAATTATTGAATTTGAAATTGAATAAAATCTAAAACTTGAAGTTTTTGAAGTTGTTTACGATTAGAAGTATTAGAAAATTAATTTTATGTTGTTTTTCAACACAATTGATTTGCATAAAATTTGATTTACTAGCTTAATCTACATGCGCATGTACATGCATGCATGTGCATGTAATTTATGACATGCGCATGCATGCATGCATGTTGCCGAACCCTAATATAAACATATATATTATATATATACATATATATTATATACATATGCGTATATATATATATATATTCTGTTTATATATATATATATATATATATATATATATATATATATATATATATATATATATATATATATATATATATGTATATATATATATATATGTACCTGTAGTAAACTAACTTAACTAAATTAATAATAACTCTAGTATCTAGAGCTACAATAAAAATATTTAGTTTTTTATTCTTTAAAGAAGGCAATGCCTAGAAAACCATTTATGACAAAAAAGGGAAGTTAAACCATATTTATTATATATATGTAATTGCATTACACAAAATTACACAAAAATAAAAACTCACCAGATATTCTAAGTCCTTCTAGAGTTTGCCTGCTTAGACAAAACCTTGACCGTTCTTCTTTAGATTAATTTAGAATGCTATTTGATTCTTTTTCCCATTTGTTTAAAAATCCAAGAAAATCTTTTGATAGCCACTAAAACAACAAATTATGTCTATATAAATATGTCTATATATGTCTATATAATATCATATATATATATATAATATATATATCAGTATGTCTATATAAATATATATACATATATACAATAATATCAACATTTACTGTTTAATAAGTGTATATAGGACTCTGAGATTTTTTTTTCATTGCAGATTACAAGTTACTCAACATTTTCAGAGCTCTTAGACACCAGAGGCCAAAAAAAAAAAAAGATTTAAGGCCAGAATTAATTTGGGACTTGCATCCCTATATTCAAGCATGTTTTTAAATGAACTTTTGATACCTTAACATGTAGTTTTTATAAATGTAAAAAAACAACTAATAATTTATTTTTTAAATACCTCAAACCTGGGATCCTCAACAGAAATATAAGGATTTAGTGCATCATTTCTTGTTTTATTAATGAACTTTGAAACATTCATGCAATCAAAAAATTTAGTGAAACAGTTTTTTCATCATTTTGCTCTTCAAGCATGTGTGCAACAGTTGAGCTTAGTACCTAAAATGTAATAGTTAAGGATGTTAGGAAGATTCACAGAGCATTCATCATATAGTTTAGTTTTGAGCAAACAATTATGACAATATTCAATGACTACGCTTTCATCAATAAATTCTATTAAACAGAAGAATATTAAGTATACACACAACTAAATTTATACCTGCACTGTTAGGTTTACACGCATTCTTGATTGAGGAGTTAAGTTTATATGTTCATCTCGAAGTTTGTGTCCCATACGCAGTCCTGGGGCATCTCTTAAAAAACCAACATCCCATTCATATAAACTCATAATTTGGTGCCAACCTAATTCTTGTCCTTGATACTGAGGTAATAAGTTTTAAATTAAAGTTATTTCAATTAAATAAAGAGAGAAACCAAAATAAATTGAATTGATAATTAAAAACTAAAGTACGATTAAGTTCTTTGACTTTTAGTCCCAGTGGGTATTTTCCAAATTATTTCTTGCAGTCTTTAATAAATGAGGTACATCACAGATAAAAAAAATTTTTCTTCCTAATAAAAATAAAGAATAAGGAAAAAAATAAACAAATTAAATATAAAATTTATTAAATTTTTTAAAATTTGGTTATTACCTGGAGCACAATGATTCTAAGTCCAGTAAACTACTCTTTCTGTCATGTTGCTGGAGTCATCCATTTTATGAAGATTATAATATTTTCTATTTTGTGTTGCTCCATCAGAAGCTATTGCCCTGACCTTAAGACCAATAGACTCTTAGATCATTATGGCATTCTATGTACAAGAGTATATCTGGTCACTATTAAAACATTCTGAAGCAAAACGTCCAAAATAATAACATAAAGAAGAAAAAATTCCTCTTTCCATGAACACAATAACATACTGTGCAAGATTTAATTCAGAATCGTTTTCTCTTACTCTGCTCCCAAACCTTCTATGAAAATCATTCAATGTATCATTAATAGGTCCCATCTCTGTAAACCCTTCCATTTTCCCAGTTGTTTTACAAACACTAAACCACTTTTTATTTTTATTTCATCGAATATCAAGGTTACATTTTTCTCAGGCTCTTTCATATCATCAGGTTTTAATGTTTCAATGAGACGCTGGATTATATCAACATTGAATCCACAACCAGGATCTATGAAGTTGATATATTTCAAAAGAGTTTTTTTACATGGCAAAAATAAAAATGGTGAACAACGAATATGTTTATAAGTGCCTGGACTTTTAAGATATGCTAAGGCACCATTTAATTATTAATGGATGCCAAATCATTGCTCTTCTATTTTTGAAGGAAGATTGAGTAACCTGTTGCTTCCAGAGTAAATACTGTGGTGAATCTTTTTTAAAAGGTATAGCTGATTGACTTTTGATTGCGTCCTTTAACAATTCATTTGTTTGAAGATCTACAGAAACACCTTCCTTTTTGAAATAATCTCTAACTTTCTTTTTCAAACGAGAAGTTCTAGAAGCTATAACTTTTTTATTTTGCTGCAATTCCTTTATTTTAATCAGTAATTGTTTTTTTTTTAAATACCTGTTGTTACATTTCTTCTAATTTTTATTTATACATTTTGTAGAAAGTGATTTGTATTTAATAAGAGAATTCATGTCTTTTGTACAGTTTTCACATTTCACTTTACTGTGAGTTTACTTAGAATTTGTCAAAAAAGAACACTTGGTTGGTCAAATGATGAAAAAGTCATTCAAACTGTTCATAAACTTAGTTTCAATAATCCCATAATCTTTTTTCAAAATTGGATGGATTTCTTTTGAAGTTAGGTTAGTTATTTTATTTTTAATTACCTTAGGCATATCATTACCAGACCAAACTTTTGCCTTACAAATGAAAGAAAAAATTTTAGCAGCACTATTTTTATAAAGAAATTTTGGCAAATGACTTTCTAAAGAAAATGAAGTTTTGGCAAAGTACTTCATTTTTTTTAGAAATCAATTTGTCGAAAATATCTAATGTCCATAATTGAATGATTTTGGTTAGTAAAATCACCCCCTCGACAAATCAAACATTTCTTTTGACTAGATTAATACAAGAATACAAACAAATTTAAGTTTAATAAATCTCAGATTTACTATTAAACAAATTTAAAGATTATATGAAGAAAGTAACCAAAACAAAATTTAGTTGAAAAAAGTGTAAAAATTTGATATAAAATAATTGATTAGTATCTTTAAAAGAATTTCATATTATAATTATTGTATAAACAGATCATATTAGCTTTACATGCAATTTATATAAATTTTTATTTACAAAAAAAATATTTATTATATATATTTATATATATATATATATATATATATATATATATATATATATATATATATATATATATATATATATATATATATATGTTAACAGTATATATTATATTCAGATAAAATATATATTATATATATATACACACATATATATTAATATATATATATATATATATATATATATATATATATATATATATTTATATGTATATATATTTATATGTATATATATTTATATGTATATATATATATATATATATGTTTATATATATATGTAAATATATATGTATATATATATGCATATATATATGTATATATATATATATATATATATATATATATATATATATATATATATATATATATAAATTAGTAGAAAATCACTTTACAAAATTTTTTTTCATTTTACTCTGTGTTTCATCAATAAAGACTTATCAGAAATGAAGATATGTGTATATATATATGAAATGAATATGTGTACACACACATATATATATATATATATATATATATATATATATATATATATATATATATATATATATATATAATATGTATGTACAATATAAATATATAATATATGCATATAAAATATATATTCATCATATATACTTTTTTACATAGAAGATTAAGCTTGCATTACTTAAAAACTTACTTTTTACTTTTTCCTAAACCAATTTTGTAGAGTCTTCTTAAGGGCTAGAATGAAATTGAAAAAAAAATTTCTATTATATTTTACAGTGCTAATCGCCTTTATTCTTCTTATATTCAACTTTTACAATAATTTTCCTATCCAGTTAAATAATTTTATTTTAGTTATTAGTAAGAAGTGATAAATTTTTCTTTTTAGTGGCAAATTCTAACTACATTCACAGTTAAGATAATTAAATTAATTTTAATCCGGAGTTTATTTTATGTATAAACAAAACGTACAAATAAAAAAGGCAAAAAAAAGCGGCATGTCGGAAAAAACAAAAAAATATATAAAAGTTGAAACAAAATGAGGAAAGAATTTAGACTCTGAATGGTAAAAATACCAACTAAAATATAAAGTATAAAACTTGACTAAAATATGCAATCCATAAATTTTTTTTAAACTCTCCCTATGTGTTTATTTTATTGCTGACGTTTACTTAAAAATAGGAAGTATTTGTCTAAGTATCGATAAAAATCTGTTATTATATCTTTGTATATATAATTAACCTTATTTATTTATGTCTAATTTGAAAAATAATTTGCAAGCACATAAATGATTTATTTTTTTCAGAAATCAGTTTTCAGAATCGTCTATTAAATCCTTACAAAGAATCTTTGATTGGCAGCCACTTTTTAAAACTTTTTTGCTAATGACGGAATATTTTAATAAGATCGTGAAAGCGCATGGCTCGCTGATTTTGGCGGTTTCTTTGATGTAAAACAAAAGGTTGCACGTCCATCTCTTATACGTCCATGGTTTCACCCAATGTGGCTACTCTTGGTGTCGTCCGATTACCTCTCAAGATCCTTTTTGCTTGTTGCACAGCGTAAAAATGTCTAAAAAAAGAAAAGGTCTTTTTTCGTATTAATAATTTAAAATGAGGTCTTTGTTCATGGACGTGTCACCACTCTCCATTGTGTCACCCGACCTTAGCGACCTTTTTTGCGGTTTTAAAAAAATATGCGGGTTAAAAGCTGGAAATAATAACGCGCCTAATTTAAAAACAAAAATGTACTTTTTTAATTAAAACGCTAATGAGATAGAAAAACGAAAATTAACGTAATAAAATTTTTTTTGAAAAATATCTGTGCTCTTAAATAAGATAATTTCGACATCTGCGACCTCTTTTCAGAAACGGCGTTTATATTGTACGTGTAAATGTATATAATTTTGTAAAAGTATTAAATTATTATAAGACTAACATATAAGAACTGATTAATTTAAAAGAAAGAAAATAGTTGCACAAAAATGTTTGACTATAAAAATTAAGTTATTTATTACTTTTTATTTTTCTTTTTTTATTTATAATTCACCTTACCAAGGCCTGAGCGGACACTGCAGTCAACGAGGCTTCCCTTTTTTTTATGTTTTTTTAATTTTTTTGAAATATTTTTGTTATTACTCATGGTACAACCCTCTCTCAAATCTTTAACTCCGAAACATGAATCTTGACAAGCAAGGCCGCTGCGCGGAGAAACTACGTTGATTTAGCCCTTTTTCTTGTTTTTTCCTCCAATTTTATTGTGCGAGAGTACGGTTACGCAATTAATAATATCAAAAAGAAGAAAACATTGAGAATTGTAAAATTAATAATTTTTAGTATTATAAAGAACATAAACAGTTACGCGGGTGGAGGGCCGTTTAATTTATTTAACTGATTCGATTATTCTATAATCGAATCAGTTAAATAAATTAAAATTTTAATGTATACAATAGTATATTAAAAAGTACGTGAAATAATAATTTAATAAACACATTTATAAATTCTTGGTCTTCGCTCACTGAATTTAACTAAATTTATCGGCTGTGAAAAGTAACTTAGTTTTTAGTTTCATTAAACTTTTTATGATATTCGATTATCTCGTTGTATGTTCAATAAATCAGACTCTAGAAAGTAATCAAATTATTTTCGAATATAAGCAATTTTTAGACATTTCGGCAATTTTAAAATTTAATTAAACTCGTAGTTATGATTTAAGTTATTTGAATATAACTTATTCATACTTTTTAAAACTTAGCAAAAACGCAATAATATAGTGTACTTCGCTATAAGTAAAAGGTCCATCATTATCTTCTTAAAATTGTAATAAATTAAAAAGACATGTTGTATTTATTTTTAGTTGTATTATTTATTTAAAATTTAAAGCATCTCTGTCTCAAATCTTCTTGATCTTGCTCATGTTCCTAAATAAAATAAAATTAATACTTACTCATTTTCAGGGGCCATCCATAATAACGCCACCATTTCTTAGGCAATTGACCCTCTTAATAAAATTTTCGGAATAATAATAACCAACTTATATACTTTTAGAAAAAAAATAAATTGCCATAAAAACCATGCAAAGCAAATCTTCGAGCATATTCTCTAAATTTAAAAAAATATAAATAGTATAAAAAAATAAATAAACATTAAAAAACCGCATTCCCAAATAATATT